GGAGGGAGCATCAGCCGCCCTCTCCCTTTCCCGCTGAGATGCCTCCTTCGTGGACATGACCGTCTCACAGAAGGAGGACACCGCCAACCAGGACCCATCACTCTCGAGCATCTTCTCCACGACACTCGAAAGCGACAGGTCCACTCCGCCGAGAGCCGCCACAAGGTCTTGGCGCTGCGCAGCCCATCTCGGGCACACCTCGAGGGTGTGCTGGGCCGAGTCCACCGCAGCGCCGCACTCATGGCAGCCTTCTCCCGGCTCTCTCCTGGCCGTCCGACACAGGTAGTAACCAAAGCACCCGTGCCCGGTTAAGACCTGCGTCAGACGGAAAGTGAGGGGTTTGCGTTTCCGCCTCATCCAACGCTCTAGGACCGGGCGAAGCGCTGCCGTTGTACGTCTACCGTACGGCTGCTCCGCCAGGTCCTCCCCCCACTCCCGCATAAGGCGCTCCTCCCCCTGCCGACGAACCGCTCGGATCTCCTCCGACGAAGGGTTCTCGCCGAGTGCCCTCCTACCCGAGACATAGGAGAACAACTCGGCTCGAACCGACGCCACGAGATCCCAAGGCGGATCGCCAGCAAGGGCAGTCGCTGCGGCCCAGGAGACCGTACGGTACCCCCTAATCACCCTCACCGCAGGAGCCCTTTGCGCAGAGCGCAGCAGGGCTTTGGTCCTGCGGCTCATTGGGCGATCAGCCCAAACGGGAGCACCGTACAGGGCTATACTCCGACAGACCCCAGAGTATAGCCGCCTGCAAGCTGCGCTGGGTCCTCCGAGGTTCGGGAGGAATTTTCCCAGCGCACCTGCCGTCCTCACGACCTTCGGCCCCAGTTCCTTGAAATGAGGCACGAAGGTCCACCCTCCGTCAAGAGTGAGCCCCAGATATTTCATGGTGGGACTCACCCTGACCCTCCCCCCTCCTATGAGGAGGGTGGCACCCGGCGGGGGTCCTTTCCGCCCAGTCCCGCGGAAGAGGAGGGCTTCGGTCTTGTCTATTCTCACCCGAAGCCCCAACCTCTCTATGCGGCTGATCACGAGGTCAGTTCCGACCTCGGCCAGCCGCGCCGCCTCCCTGTAGTTTCGTCCCCGGGATAAGACGAGGGTGTCATCGGCGTAACAGATGACACCCATCCCGGGGAGGAGACGACTCCGCAGGACCCAGTCGTATCCGACGTTCCACAGGACCGGTCCCAGGACCGACCCCTGTGGCACGCCGTTTTTGACTGTCCACCACTCTATGGACCCCCTCCGGCTCTCGACTGCCACCCTCCTCTGGGAGAGGTAGCTGTTTATCAGCCTCCTCAGATACAGGGGCACTCCGAAATACTCGAGTGCCACCTGTATCGCGCTGTGTGGGAGGCTGTTAAACGCGTTTGCGATGTCCAACGACACCGCAACCACTACCTCTCCTCTGCGTTCCGCCTCTTCCGTCACCGCCCGCAGGCGTTTGAGAGCATCGACGGTCGACCGATGGGCTCGGAACCCGAACTGGAACTCTGACAGTCCCGGGCCCGAGCCTTCCTCCAGATGCCGAACGAGACGGGTGGCCATTATTTTCTCCAGGGCCTTCCCCGCCTCGTTCAGCACAACCACCGGTCGCCACGCCGAAGCCGAGTCCGGAGGCCGGTTGCCTTTTGGAAGAAGGCAAAGCCGGCCTTCCTTCCAGGCCCTCGGGAACTGCCCGGACCTCAGACAGAGGTCGAACAGCTCCTTGAGGGCTCCACCGAGGTGCACCAGGGAGAGAGCGAGAACTCTCCCGTGCACCCCATCCGGACCCGGTGCGCTCTTCTTACTCTGGAGGCGAGCCAGAATCGCCTCCATTTCAGACTCCGTGACGGTGGGCGGAACGCGGTCGCCCTCTTCCAGCGTCAGCCGGGCCATTCTGGGGGGAGTAAATCCCGCTGGAGCGTCGGGGAAGAGTTCCCCGACGATCCCCCTCAGAGCAGCCGGCTGGAGCACCTCCGTGATGGGGGCCGACTGGGCGCAGAGTTTGTTCCGCGCCCGCTTGTACGGTCGGCCCCAAGGGTCTCGATCGAGACCCTCCACCAGCTCCAGCCAGGCTGCCTCCTTGGCCCGGCGGATGGCCTGCTGCAGGATCAACTTCTTCTCCACATAGATCCTGTACAGCCGACCATCTCGCTCCTCGTCCTGGGGGCGGCGTCGCCTACTCCGGGTGTATGCCCTCCTGGCCCCGTTGCAGGCGACCCGGAGGTCTGAGATATTCTCAGACCACCAGTATACCGCTCCCCGCGGAGGGGGACGTCCTACGGGGGGCATCGCCGCTCGGCAGACGTTTTGAAGAACGTCCCCAAAGCGGCTAGCCCCTTCATCCACCCCTAACTCCGCACCCTCCGGGAGACTCCAGCGACCGACGACGACGGCCGCTTCTTTAGCCAGTTCCCGGTTGAGCTTTGACAGCGCCCAACGCGGGAACCGACTTCTCTCCCGAGGCGACGAGGAATTCGACACTGGACTACGGCGACCGGCAGGAGTAGGAGACACTTCGAACCGTATGTAACGGTGGTCCGAAAGCGTCTCCACTCCTGCCTCAACCCTCCATCCCTCCACTCTGCGTGCGATGGTCGGAGTGGCGAACGAGACGTCCACCACTGAACCTCCCAACCGTCGCACGCACGTCTGGACCGTCCCCGAGTTGAGAAGGGACAGTCCGGCAGTCAGCGCCCATGCCTCCAGCTCCCTCCCTTTCGGTGTTGTGCGGGGGTTTCCCCACGCCGTGGACTTGGCGTTGAGGTCCCCCAGCACAAACACCTGAAGAGGCGCTAACTGCCCTACCACCGGCCCGAGAGAGTCGAGAAATCTCTCGAAGGCCGGCAGGTCGCGGTTCGGGGAGAAATATACCCCGACGATGGCAACCTCCCCCCGAACCGCCGCCACATACCCGTGGCCCCTCGCTTTGACGGCGAGGGGGGGCCCGACTCCCGGCCGCGTGACGATCGCAACTAAGCCGTCCACGTCTCCCGCCCAATGAGGTTGGGCAGGGACACAGTACGGCTCCGCTATGACCGCCACGTCTACGGCCCACTCCGCCATGGACTGCAGGAAAAGATCCTGAGCCCCGGCGCAGTGGTTGCCGTTGGCCTGCAGGAACCTGAGATGTCCGGCCATTATTCGGACATCTCAGCTCCTGACTACCTAAGCTCTTTTGTTTAACAGAGCATATTCGTAGTACGGATATTGTATTCTTGTAACTTTTAAGTTAGTTTCTCGAATATTTTTGAGAGGCTAAAACATTGACTACTAAGTCCATTAATCTACATCGAATAGTGTTTTCGATATTTACTTTAGTTTTTATCACGTATTATATTTTTGATACAAAATGGACAAAATAATTTATTCGCTTTGAAATTTCGTCTGTTATTCGAAAATGCGTATTAAGAAATAGGTATATATTAAAATGTTGTGTTTTTATTTTCTGTTCCTGGGACGTCTAAAAATTACTATCGCCTATTTGTGGAGCGCATGATGTCTTTCAACCGAGATAGACTTTTTTTTAATTTTTGCAGTAATGTTTGAAATGAAACTTTTTAATATTTTACATTTGAGTTCAACAAAAAGAAAAAGTTATTTTATCACATTTGTATTTTATAATATGACGACACTTATTAAGACTAATCACTGAAGGAAATCTTTAAATGCTTTTTAATTGGGCTTTTGTGATATGTAAAAATAAAAAAAGTATGCACTATTAGAAATATCTAGTACGTACCTATCACTAAAACGTTATATCAATCCTTTTAATATTGTAGGCCAGACGGTCGTTAACCAAAAGATTTCAGGTATTGGTTAGCAGAAGATAAAATTGAAACATTTTTATTAGGGAAGACGTGATTCGTGGAAAATTTAAACTCAACATAAATTTAAGTTGTAAAACTGTTTTATTCTCTAAGAATAATGAATCATGTTCGTTACTTGTGCAAATGTTTAAAAACTTTAAAACATGTAGCTTTTTGGAGTTCATTGTCATAAACTAGGTACATACAATTTTCGGTACAATAATCTTTTATAACCAATTTATAAGTAATTAATAAAATCAGTGAAACCAACGTGTGTACGTAATTAATTAGTAACTTTAGATCTACAAGGGTGATAACCAAGAAAATAAGTGGCTTTTGAAATATATTTGGTAGCACCTAGAAAAATTAAACATTACATCAGTATTAAATATTATTTTCACAATGTTGCAGGTTGTTTATATACATATCTTATTGTTATTTTAAAATAGAGGAGCAGAAATAAATCCTGTTGCTGAGCTCTAAATCACTTTTAATCATTAATATTTTATTATAACAGTAGAGCTGGTTTCTCTTCTTTAAAGTGCCTTGTGTGTAAAGGTTTCGGTGTAATAAAATAAAATAACATCGGTCATAATAATTTTATTCGCATATAATAATTGATTATGATACATGGAGCGCTAACGCGCGCCGGTCAGCGGATGCCGAATCAGTCGAGCATCTCGGCTCAAATTACATTATTATTAATTCTTTATATTGCATCGACATTCGTTATGCAAAAACCGTGGCTACATATTCACTAGTGAGAGGTCTCGAGGCAGCGTTACAGATGGACGCACATCGCACAGTCCCCGCGGCCCGCGCACTGCATCTCACGCAGCGAGGCCGCCGACTGATCGCTTTTTACATATATACTTAAAATATAACAGTCAATTAGACAGCCGGATATCAGTCCGATAAATTTATTTACATACAAAACAAACGAAACACCATAACTCTCTGCGACAAACGGCCGGGTCCAGTCACCGAGACCGGAGTCGAGTCCGCTCGAGGCGGCGGTGGCTCGATTCGTATGAATCTTAAATAACATTAAATCACTTCCATAATTTATTACTTAAAAATACCGAAAACCTAAATCTGTCGACGTCAGTGGAGAGGCGGACGTCTGTCGAGCGGCGATCGCTCGGGCTGCCGGGAGCGCGTTGGCGAGGGGCGAGGGCCGAGGGGCGGAGGCCGAGGGGCGCCGCCTCACTCGGCCTTCACCTCGGCGGGGGACGGCGTCTCCACGGCGGTCACCGTCTCCCCGACCTCCTCCATAGTCGCTGACACCTCCCCGCTCTCAGTCACACGCTCCGAACCTCCTCCGCCGTCTGATACAAAGAAGAAAGGAATAAATAACAGTTTAATTCAATGAGTATCTTTATCTAAAACTAGAAGACCCGGCGAACTTCGTTTCGCCCTATAATCAAGAAATATCTGTTACGTTTTTTTATTTATATTTTTGGAGTTTACCTATTAAAGCCATAAATCTCCGTGTTTTGAAGTGATTAGGAATGATTAATAGTTAATATGAGAGTTACACTGAGCTAGCAAAATAATAATTGTCAACGTTACTACTACACTTGATGCACAAACAATAACGATGGCCGACAACTGTGTAGGGAGTGAGAGAAGTCTAATTGTGTGAGAGAAACAGAAGACCGGCTTCGTTCTCATCCCTACTCCGTGCTGTTTACTGGGTCAGAAGTGACACCTGTAGATATCTGGCGGGGATAACTTATTAAATGACGATTGATCAGTTATCGACCGGAGATGAAAAATGATTAAATTACTAAAATAGCTATTAAAAAATAAGGGTTGATCGTAGAAGGGTGAAAATTTAGGATTGTATGTATTTTTGTACGTTGTATCATAAAAAAATAGTAATTAAAAATTTTGTCTAAAAAATAAAAAAAAAATTTAGGGGTGGACTACCCCTAACATTTAGGGGGATGAAAAATAGATGTTGGCCGATTCTCATAGCTACCGAATAAGCACAAAAAATTTCATCAAAATCGGTCAGGTTGTTTCGGAGGAGTATGGGCACGAAAACTGTGACACGAGAATTTTATATATTAGATTACATTATATCTATGCGTCTACTTACTACGTTGGTGGTGATGGTAGTACAGGTTGGGTCTCATGTGTTGTACGTGTTGCGCGTGGTGCGGTCTCGGCGGCTGCGCGGGCGGCGCGCGGTACATGGGCGGCGCGGGCGCGTGCGGCCTCTGTATGGGCGCGGGGTAGCGTGACGTCACCATGCCGCCCCGGTTCATTGCGTTTCCGTTTCCGTTGCCGCCGTTTCCGCCACGTCCGTTGTTTCCGCCGCCGACCATTTGCTACAAATAAAAGTTCTTTGAGGTCGGGTCGCGGTCGAGTGCTATGATCTCAGGCCGAGCGGACGGTATACCTGTTGGTGTTGTTGGTGCTGCTGGTGATGCTGGTGCGGCGTGTGTGCGGGCGGCGGGTGCGGCGGGTGCTGTTGGTGTTGTGGCGGCGGCGCGTGGTACTTGTGCTGCGGCGGCGAATGAGGCGGCTTCTGTTGTTTCGTTGCCCCTTTGGGCGTCGGCGAGGCCGAATCACATAGAGGGGCGAATCCGTTAGGATGTTCGTGCAGCGGACTCTTGAGTTGTTGCTGAGGCGGAGGTCTTGGCTGAGGCGGGGCATACTGTTGTTGTAGAGGAGCCCGATATTGTTGCTTTAAAAATTCAACATATTGTAAGTAAAGTATCATCACAAGGTGTCGCAATTCATAAAATAGTAATAGAATTCAGTTCATCCTACCAGTGGCGGTATGATGCAGACACGTCATTGAATAAATCAACTAACCTGCATCTGTTGGACGGCCGCGGCGGCGGCGACGTGCAGCTGTGAGGAGAGGAACTGTGAACTGAACGCGCTCGACTGTGCGGGCTGAGTGAACTGGAGCGGGTATGTGGGCGCGGGCGCGGCGGGCGGCTGGTAGGGGGAGTAGTATGAGGTGGAGGGGGGCGCGGGGCGAGGCAGCAGCCCCGGCAGTGAGTATGGAGATTCACCCACGGGGCCCGAGTACCCCAAGTACTGTTGCTGGAACGTGTTCACACCACCAACAGCCCCGACACCACCGACTCCGCCAACGCCTCCACCTTTACTACCTGTATTACAATAAAAACTAATATTAATATTTTATTACAACACAATGTTTGTTTCTACTTTTCTTACTAACCAATAGCTCCGATCTGCTGAGTCGATGGCTTTACTGTAGCTGACATGAGGGAGTTTGACGTACTTGATATCAGTACAGTGCTTGGACTGTTTCCTAATTGACCAGACTGGCCGAAGGCAGCGCCACCTCCTGCCGCAGCGGCCTTTAGGAACAACACATCGTTAGTTTATGAAATACAGAACGTTATATGAAATTACAAGTAAATTTTAACCGATTCATTTATCTTATGCTAGAAATAAAACAAACATTTTGATTACCATTCGGTATTGACTTGGCAGGCTTTGGAACATATCCGGAGGTGGTTGGTAATTGTATGGAGTAGCAGAACCCGCACCGTAAGGAGTTCCCGGGAAGCCTCCAAATTGTCCCCGTGTTTGATCCAAAAAGGCTCCGTATAATCCGCCTTGTTGTTGTAGTTGTTGAGATGAACCTAATAATTGTTGAGTCGAGTTGTACAGGACCGCTGGTGGCGATGGGACTGACAGGCCTCCGTAGCCGCTCTGGTATGTCACATGGTTATAATGTTGAGGCGGCGGCGATTGCAGTTGCTGAGTTGGTTTAACCTTACACACGTTAGGAGGTGCGCCAGTCTCTGTGTTGTTCTCTTCGAAAGGTGTAGTGAACTGCAGCTCCTCACTACCCTCAGCCACAGCGTGCATCTCCCACACTTTCTTAACACTCGCGATTTTTAAATTGAGATCGGCTGCTAACGGTGATATGGTATTCGACGTACTCATGTGGGTGCCACGAGGCAATCCTAAAGCTTTAGCAGATTTTTCATCGGTGAGCTGCCCAAGGTCAGAGTCAAATGCAAAATCAAGTTTCATGTCAGAAGAATCCTCATTCTTCTGTGATGTATCGAAAGCCATCTGAAGACCGAGAGACCCCTCAGCCTCTGACACAGGTCTACCGCTTTCAGCCATAAGCTCTTGTATTGATCTAGGACGCGACCTCACGTCTCCGTTGAATGGCATTGACCTAGAATCCACTTCATTTTGAACTTCCTCTCCTTGGGGTTTAGCTGTAGCTGCACTAGGTTGATATTTTTGTTTCAGAGCCTCTGCAGGTGGTACCGTTTTATAATTGGTGTTTTCAAAGATTATAGTTTCCACAGGTGGCGTGGTTCCGTCTAAGACGCCCGCTTTATCAGCAACTACAGCACATGAAGGAGCAGGTGGCTTATTACTTTCAACGGTCGTGTCTCCTGGAGTACTGCGTTGGCTAGATTGGTTTGATTTTTCAACAACTTCGGGTTGGTCTTCAACATTGGCACCACGTAAAGTTTGTGCAATAGGTTTATCCCACGCGTTTACTGGTGGAGGAGGAGGCGCAGCGCCGGTGTCCGTGCCAAAGTTGGGTACCAACCCCATTTGTTGTTTTTGTCTTTGTTTAACAAAGCGAGGTGCCAAATTGGCTTGACGCGGTCTGTTGTCGTAAGGTACGTTTGATTTACCGGGAACAGGTCCCGAACCTCTAGAGTTAGATTTGTCATTTGAATTTCTTGTAGATGAACCATTTCTGCCACCTCCCCCTTGGTTCGAACGAGATCTGGGTTGCTTTTCTTCTTTTGCATTAAGGGGACCTCTGATATCTTTTGAATTTTTCTTATTACGCACTTCTTGGAATCCATCATCAATAGCTTCTTCATCTTTCTTAGCAGTCGATATTTTAAGGTCACCCATAGCCTCTAATGCGTCCGTACTCTTATTCTCGCCTTCCTTCTTAATACCCTGCTGATTCCGGCCATTATTTTGGCGATTGTTAGAAATATGATTTCGACTGCCACCTTGTCCCTTTTGAGATTGATTTAATTGTCTGCTACCGGATCGTCGTTGTCCACCGCCTTCAGAATGTTCAGAAGTAGTTTCCCAATTTTCGTCTTCACCACTGAGGCCTCCTTTGGAACGTCGATCTCTACCTTTACCTCCTGAAGAGCCGGTATGCGGTCTATTTGTATTTTTGTCTTTGTCACTTTGAACGCTATCCTTACAATCTTCATTGTCTTTATTAGCTCTGTTAGCTTGACTAAAAGGACTTTTTGTATTCGGCGGCCCATATCCAGTTACTCTTTTAGCGGGTGCCGGAGGTCTGTTTGTGCCATGGAAGCCACCACGGCCTCGTCGGGAAGGCTGACCACGTGGGGCAAATGGTTCTCTATTTTCTAAGCCATCTGTAAATTGGGATCCCTGTTCTATAACGTGACTCGAATCTTCAAGTCTTTCCTGTTTTTTAGGGCCGCGTGGACTGCGAGGTGCTCTACGTCGTTCCCTGCGGTCAATATTAGTGCCATCTGTTGAACCATCTGATTCACTCGCTCTATTATTTGACCGAGAACTTCTATGTGAACGTCGACCACGTGACTCTCTTGAACCCCAACCTCTTCCATACACGTTATACCCTCCGCCCACTCCATACCCTCGCCCTTTCTTTTCAGATCCTGACCCACTTGATTTACGTTCGATAGGTTCTTTAGGAGGCATTTTATTTCCTTGATCATTAGTATATCTTTCACTTTTTTTATCATCCTGTGGTCGTTTTTGAGAGTCTTGATTATTTTCAATGGAATTTGAATCGGTCAATTTATTCCCTATAATTCCGGAAGGATCACTGCTGGATTTAGAGGCAATAGATTCGGATTCTGACAGATCTTTTTCTGATTTTAAGGATACCGTTTGTTTGGCAGTATTTGCAACAACATTTGACTGTTCTGGAGTAAACTGCTTTGGTGGTTGTGAGGAATTAGAAAGTATATCATTTGAGCTAATAGGTTTAGGAAGTACTTGATTAGGAGTAGACTTAGAAGTAAAATGAGAATCAGTAAATGAAGGAGTTTGAGATTGTATACCAGATGACATTACTTGAGTTTGAATATTTCCCGCAATATTCATATTAGAGTGTTGATTTTGTATGGAAGTATTAGAAGTGTTGTTAGATGCCTGATTGTAACTATTGTTGTGGGATTGAGACATGTTAGAACTATTAGTTTTTGCATCATTAGTTTCTTGTAACGTCTTGATGGGGTCAGCTTGTGGGGCGATCGATTCATTAGTCTTTTGATCGAACATTTTGGCTGAATTTTTCTTGTCCCCTAAACTAGAGCTGTTACTTTGTTCTTCCTGTCCCACATCAGCCCAAGAGGTTTCAATAAGATCCTTTTCGGTGAATTCCCTTTGTGGTGTGTTTGAAGGCGGTGAAGATCTTTTTTCATGACCTTGTGTTTGTATAGATTCTGTTGAGACAAATGGTTCAGCGACTCCTATACTTTTTCTTTCAAAAACTTCAGTCAACTTATCGGCTGCTGTTCTGCTGCTATGATCAATTGTATCTAAAGGTTTTCGTTCAGAATCAGATCGTCTGTCTTTGTAATCGTTAAAGTCTTTATAAGATTCCTTAGAGTTAGACCTGTCCAACTCTCGACCAGACCTATCATAATCTTGCATTTCATTGCGCCACTGAGGGCCATCTTTGTCTCTCCGAACCTCATCTTCGCGGTCTGAATAATCTCTGAAAAAGGATATCATTAATTTGAATTGTATATCAATATATTTTTAATTATTTTATATTTTTAAGAACCTAGCTCTAGTCACAAAACTTTAAACACTAGCTCTAGAAACAAAACTTTTCACGTGTGAGTGGATTTGCCCAGAAAGGTATGATATCGTTACGCCTGTCTTTTAATAACTGTGGGGCTAATTTTCTTTTTATATAAAAAAATATGTATCTTTTACAAAATAAATATAGAACTTATTCGTTTATCTGTATACCTGGAGTATGAACGTCGGCCATTATTTGGTGCATGCCTGGGTGCGTTGTATGATTGCGCTTCTTGTCTTCTTGGTGCTGTTTTTCCAGCAAAAGCCCATCCCTTATGTTGGTCCTCTTGTTGCCTGTTCTGCTGTTGCTTTAAAAACCGAGGAGGTATGTTGGCTTGAAATATCTTTGAGAATGGATTCGATTGGTCGCGATCTCGTTCACGAGCAAAATCTCTATCACGATCCCTGAAGTCCCGATCAGATCTTTCTCGGTCGCGATCACGGTCCCGGTCCCGGTCGTTTC